TCAAAAAGTTTCAGTCCATTCCCACGAAAGTCTCGGTCCATTCTCACAGAAGTATTCCCACCAAAGTTTCGGTCCATTCTCATGGTGGTCTGACCACAGCTATTGTCTAATTCTTCTCATGCATGGTACTTGCCTTCTCAGGTGCTTATAGAAAATATCTTGCAATTTTTCTTAACTCTATATTTTGAACAAATACCTATTCTAACTACATAATCATCAACCCACTTTAATAACCTTGATCGGTCAAAGTGCTCTTTTAGCTCTACTGCTGAAACAAATACCCACCCCAATCAACCAGAATTTTCTTGTGACTGTAACAACAGCAGCCACTGGCCGTATGCCAACAGCAACACAACAGGCTGTCATCACGGAGGGAAGGGATTGAAGGTGCCAGAGAAGAAGCAGGAAGGGGATGCGAAGGGTTGAAAGGAGAAGCAGGAAGGGAAATGTGAAGGGGATGTGAAGGGGGTCGTCCCCTGCAGGCTCCCCTATTTACAGCGAGTGTGACATTTCTGGGAGAGAATACATCTTTCTTGGTCAGCTTGAATCAAACCCAGATCATCAGTCCTGGGTCACATATCCCAGAGAGTCCCGGGCTCTCACTTCCACTCCTTTTCTCTTGTGCAGAAAAAAAGGGGAAAAAAAAACCAAAAACAAAATCCTAAAAGAAATTGTAACCACAAGTGCAGGTGAAACTTTGAAAAAACATAAATATCTGCCAGCAAAATGAAAACAATGACTTTATCAGCTTCATAAGGAAAATAACTTCATCCTGGTCAAAGCTATAATGTCAAATTGTTTTCATTTAAAAAAAGGCTGCAGTTTTCTCAGAAATCCAGCTCTGAAACATCAAAAGGGATTTCTATAAATCAGTCCCAGCAAAACCAGGACAGAAGAAAAAACTTTTTATTGCCTGATTTCAGCCAATGGTGCATGTACGTGGAAGGAGAGTATATGCTCTGTTAAGGGTATCTGGTCAAAAATGGTTTTCAATGCAAAAAGGAAGCCATAAACAAGAACATACTGGGACACAAACCTGACTGACAAATGTTAAGAGAGGCAGTGATGAGAACAAGACCTGGTCAGTCACACTAATTATGAATGGATGTGAGAGTGTGAGTATGCTTATTCCAGCAGGTTATCTGATTGGGACCTTGTCGATTGGGAAACTAATGGAAAAAATGGGAAAAAAAAAAACCAACAAAATATACAGACAGACAAAACAAACATGGTGACAATAACAAGAAAAAAACCTAATTGATGGGCCATCAAGAAACTACAGGTGCCATTTGCAGGAAGATCAACCTAGACTTTGCAGCTGATAAGACTGTAAAACATGGGGGAAACTTGGAGGGGTGTGGGAATCAATAAAGCTGGTATTTGGTTTACTTGGCAAGGTTTTGTTAGTGAGGAGGGAGGGCTGCAGGGGTGACTTCTGTGAGAAAAGAGCAGGAGCTGTTTCGATGTTTGATAGAGCAGGTTCCAGACAGCTCCAAGCCGGACTGCCACTGGCCAAAGCTGAGCTAATCAGCTATGTTGGTAGTGCCTCTGTGATAATGTCACTGAAATCGGGAATAGAAAAACTGCTTAACACCAATGTAGCATTAAGAAGCAGGAATTCTGTAGGTTAGTTGTGAGTGTGGCTTTTTAAGTATTTACACATATAACTAAGTTTATCCTAGGAACATTATATATTAGTATAGATGAAATGGTACAAGCTTCCCAGTGTGAATTCCTCGCTACTGCCATAACTTCATATCAGAATAAATGCTTCATCATTGTAAATCACTTCTATGGTGCTGTTCCTTGGCAAACATTAAATTGTGCAATATTATGCAACAGTCGCAGATAATGTATCATCTATTAAGGACTAATTATCCATTTTATTTAATGAAAATCTGTTCACTGTGTCCTTCAGGATCTTAGCTCTAGCAGAGCTCAATTTATTTTTTAGCTTTTCTATATTCTTTTACTTCTCCATAGTAAATTAATGCTGACAATTAAAATTCTTATTTAAATTATTAATTGTTGTCTGCTACAGGAAAGTATGGGCAGGAATGATCAGAATTTGTAATGATAAGCTGTGTGTAGTGTGTGTGTGTGTGTGTGTGTGTGTGTGTGTGTGTGTGTGTTTTCCAAAACCTTGATAATTTGTATTGTATCTTACTAGTGTTAGAATATTCAGGATTTGAATTCTGTGATGTACTGTAATGGCAACGTAATATGCAAAATTCCTGTTTCTCCCTGACATTTTCAGCTGTAATGTGGCACTGGAGGGGTTCATATGTCTATTTTTTTAATTTAGTTTGGTTTTAATCAACAAAACATAAAAGGAAGAAAAAAAAAAGTCTAGCTTTTCAGGTCCTTGGATCTCATGGAGAAAGTTGTGCATTTTGCATCATCTATCAGATGAAGCATTTGTCACACTGTTCCACTGAATTTGATGAAATTTCTTCAGGATGTAAAATGTTGAACACCGTGATGTTGAACAGTGTGAACACGATGTGTGTGTGTGTGAACTAAAAAAAGCTGTGTCACATGCCATTTTGTTCACATTCCTTTTTTTTCTTTTAACATAGGAAAAGAAATCTAAGATATGTATTAAGGAGAAAAAAAAGATGGATTCACAAGATTGTGTCCTAACAAATTCAAAGCAAGATATCAGCCATCACATAAAGGGTAGCTCCAGTAAGCATTATCTTTGTGGCTATTGTGCAGCCTTCACCAATATAGCAGTCACCTTTCCCATCCAGAAGGTCCTCTTTCGACAACAGTTGTATGGCTTGAAAACAAAAGATGCAGTACATCAGCTGCAAAAAGATGGCATTTGAAATCTCTATCATGGAATCCTTCCTCCATTAATGCAAAAAATGACCACCCTGGCTCTAATGTTTGGCTTGTGTGAAGATTTTTCCTCCTTGCTCCATAGTCACACAAGTGTACCTGAACTTCTGACTTGCAGCATCGCAGCAATACTTGCAGGGACTACAGAAGCCCTTCTTATACCTTTTGAATGAGTCCAGACTTTGCTTCAGGACTACAAACATCATGACAAATTTACAAACACTTACCAGGCTTTCAAGGTACTAAAAGTATATGGGATTAGAGAATATTATCACAGGGTTTGGTGCCTATTCTGCTCCGGAATGGAAGCAGTAACATCTTCTTCTTTGGCCTACGAGGACCTATCAAACAATGTCTGCCTGAAGCAACTTCTTACATCACTCACTTGGTCAATGATTTTATCTGTGGAGGGCTGTTGGGTGCCATGCTGGGATCCTTATTTTTCCCTATGAATGTTGTAAAAGCTCGCATGCAGTCTCAAATTGGTGGCGAATTTCAGTCTTTTCCAAAAGTTTTTGTGATGATCTGGCTAGAACGTGATAAAAAATTGATGCATCTTTTCAGAGGAGCCCATCTAAACTGCCATCATTCTGTCCTGTCCTGGGGTATAATCAATGCAACATACAAATTTTTTTCTAAAGCTGTTATGAAAAATGTTACCTTCCTTTGAAGCCCCTCTATTCATTTGGGTATTTGTATATTTGAGGTCACGTAGTCTCTGGGAATAGATTAATTTATGGAACTTTTTGTGAATAACGTGGAGTACCATGAAACTTGGAGATAATTCAAAGCAGCAGTTACATTTCGGTAGGGAGACTGGTGATATTGTTAATGGCTGCTTAGTGCAAGAGAGGTAATTGGTCTTATTAATGGCCTTCAATATTTATGGGGTAAATGGCAATACATCTAAATATTGATGAAATTGAATATACTTCTAAACAAGTTGAAGTATTTATATGCTGGTGGATAAGTTTACCCACAGTGGAAATGTAAATACAAAGTAAAAAAAAATTTTATATTGGTCTAGTAGCTTATTCTATTATTTCCGGTGTTTCCTAATACAGTGATCAAATTTTTCACTGTGCACATTGTATAATATGAAGTCAAGAAGGGGCAAATGAAAGCTACTTCTCTTGCTTGGTACAGTACAGAGGGTTAAGAGCTAAACTGCCAAATGTCTTTGGGTTCTAAATTATCTTTGGAGTTTAAATAGAAGCTGCCGATTTCTGATGATGATGACTTTCTTTCTGAACCTCAAGTTTAAATAGAGCCTACACAAACTATTTTGCCAACTATTTTACTGCTCAGCTTTAACATGAACATCATCTCATTCATCAACATAAGGGTAGCTACTGAATATTTAACTTCAGTGTAAACTGACCCAGTGTAAAGGGGGATTGTGCCTATGTATGTGTGTGCCTTGAAATGGAAAGGTGGAAGGAGTAAACCAGCAATTTTATTTCAAGCTTTAAAAGTGTTCTTCCTTGTTGAAAGATCTTCTATTTGCAAATTTGGTATACTCAAGTTTTCTGCTTTTGCATTGCTTTGTTTCTGTTGCAAACATACGAAAACTGATCTCTCTCTAATGCTCAAAAAGTAATATAGCTTCCTCTGATTGTCAAACTACTTGATTAACAGCTTTTTCATTATTTTGCAAAGTATTTTTGTTTAATTTGGGCTGTGGCAGAATTTTACATCAACACTGACAAAGTGATATTTCTGGGTATAAGCATTTAAGGTCTTAAAGGGAAAGCAAGCATAACTACCAAACAGGAGACTGTCTTAATTTTTTTTTGGGGGGAGGGGTGTTATGCATGAAATTTCATGCCGTATTCTTTGTTTTGAGGAGTAGGGGGTCCTAGGCTTTAGGCCCTGTAAAACTATCATTGATAATACAGTAAAGCAATAAAGTGAATTGTGTGGCTAATCCCTTACACTTCAAGCATTTGTAATTTGATTAATAGATAACACTATGCAGTAAAAACAGGGATGTGGAGAGCTGCTACACATGAAGGTTACCTGCATGTTTCATTCACCAACAAATAGAAAAGTGTAAAAGTGTATTAGCAGGCATAGAATCATAGAATCATAGAATGCATTGGGTTGGAAGGGATCTTAAAGATCATCTAGTTTCAACCCCCCTGTCATGGGCAGGGACACCTCCCACTAGATCAGGCTACTCAAAGCCCCATCAAGCATGACCTTGAATGTCTCCAGGGATGGGGCCTCCACCACCTCACTGGACAAACTGTTCCAGTGTTTCACTACTCTCATAGTAAAGAACTTCTTCCTAATGTCTATTCTACCCTGCTCTAGCTTAAAACCATTGTAAACCATCCCTCCCCAGCTTTCTTATAGGCCCCCTTTAGGTACTGGAAGGCCGCTATAAGGTTTCCCCAGAGCCTTCTCTTCTCCAGGCTAAATAGCCCCAACTCTCTCAACCTGTCTTTGTAGGAGAGGTGCTCCAGCCCTTTGATCATCTTCGTGGCCCTCCTCTGGACTCGCTCCAGCAGCTCCATGTCCTTCTTGTGTTGAGGGCTCCAGAACTGGACACAGTACTCCAGGTGGGGTCTCACGAGAGCAGAGTAAAGGGGCAGAATCACCTCCATTGATCTGCTGGCCACGCTTCATTTGATGCAGCCCAGGATGTGGTTGGCCTTCTGGGCTGCAAGCACACATTGCCAGCTCATGTTGAATTTTTCATCGACTGATATCCCCAAGTCCTTCTCCTCAGGACTGCTCTCAAGCCATTCTCCGCCCAGTCTATATTTGTGCTTGGGATTGCCCTGACCCAGGTGCAGGACCTTGCATTTGGCCTTGTTGAACTTCATGAACCTCTTCAGACTGTCCAGGTCCCCCTGGGTGGCATCCCTTCCCTCCAGCATGTTGACCACACCGCATAGCTTAGTGTCGTCAGCAAACTTGCTGAGGATGCACTCGATTCCACTGTCCATGTCACCAACAAAGATGTTAAACAGCACCAGTCCCAACACCGACCCCTGGGAAAAACCACTTGTCACTGGTCTCCATTTGGACATCAAGCCATTGACTGCAACCCTTTGAGTGCGACCATCCAGCCAATTCATTATCTACTGAGTGGTATATCCATCAAATTCATGTCTCTCCAATTTAGAGGCCAAGATGTCATGTGGGACAGCGTTGAACGCTTTGCATGAGTCCAGGTAGATTACTTCAGTTGCTCTTCCCTTATCCACCAAAGCTGTAACTCCATCATAAAAGGTCACCAAATTTGTGAGGCACGATTTGCCCTTGGTAAAGCCATGTTGGTTACAACCAGTCACCACATCTTCATTCTCCATGTGCCTTAGTAGAGCCTTCAGAAGGATCTGCTCCATGATCTTGCCAGGCACAGAGGTGAGACTGACTTGTCTATAGTTCCCTGGGTCTTCCTTTTTTACCTTTTCTGAAAATGTGGGTTATGTTTCCCCTTTTCCAGTCAGCAGGTACTTCACCAGACTGCCACGACCTTTCAAATATGATGGAAAGTGGTTTTGCAACTTCATCTACCAGTTCCCTCAGGACCCACGGATGGACTTGTGCACCTTCAGGTTCCTTAGATGGTCTCAAACCTGATCATCTCCTACAGTGGATGGATCTTCCTTCTCCCAGTCCCTGCCTTTGCCTTCTGTGACTTGGGCGGTGTGTCTAGAGCCCTTGCCAGTGAAGACTGAGGCAAAAAATTTGTTGAGTACCTCAGCCGTCTCCATATCCTGCATGACCAGGTCTCCATTTTCCTTCTCGAGAGGGTCCACATCTTCCCTGGTTTTCCTTTTGTCACTGATGTACCTGCAGAAGCTTTTCTTGTTACCCTTTATGTCCCTGGCCAGATTTAATTATATCTGGGCTTTAGCTTTCCTAACCTGATCCCTGGCTGCTCAGACATTTTCTCTGTATTCCTCCCAGGCTACCTGACAT